GCAAAATTTTGTAAAGGTCTCGAGTATATGCTTAGAGCTCACTTTTCTTCATTATTAGTAGAGTATTAATTAAACTTTAATTAGTGTTTAAAATAATCTTGCTCTAAAGTGTTATTGCAAAACAAAAGATACACAGTGTTATTCAGTTTTCAACGCTCTTTCTAGCAGTATACTTGAAGATCAAAATGCACAATAAAATATCTCTCTAGCTATTAATCAATAATATTATATTATTACATCTAATAATTAAAAAAAATCTTTTTATACTAAAATATAACCCGTGTACTTGTGTATCTAATAGTATATTTTTGAAAATTGTCTCTATTTTCCGATAACAATATAATCAACAAAATACTAAAAACGTCTTAAACTTTTCTGTGAGAGAGAAAAATTGAATTTCTTTCTTTATCTTCACGTTATAATTAATTAAATCAAGAACAGGATGTTCGTGTATCTCTTGACCCTAACTTTATACGGTGCTAAAAATATATCATTAACCTTTTTTTGTTTTTCAAAGAAAACATCAAAGTAAAAAGTGCCTTGAATGTTATCAGATCATTTTATATATATTTGGAAACATTCAAACTATTAGCAAAATACATAGGCCAGATTGAACGAAATTCCTTTAACCTTAACATATAAGATATTTGAGTACAATTTTACCATGGAGTTTTTAAGTCATATGAGATAACATTTTTATGCTCTATGCAAATATTCACTAGCGTGAAATAAAAAACTTTAATAATTAATAACTTCTCATTGATCAAACTGCAAGAGACGTAAAATGATGACAATGACAAAGTTTTCAGTAACATTTTTTTGTTCTAAAATTCTGCAACAATTGATGTGTATTATAAAATTTGAAAAGAAAAGCTTTGTGAGAAAAGCTTTTTATATTAAAAAAAAATAAAAAATTTAGTTTTCTTCTTAAATTAGAACTTCAATAAATAATACACACGTCAAATATAACTTCAAATTTAATAATCATAGTTTTATATGCTGTAAAGTATCAAAAAAAAAACAAGCGATTATAAATTAATGATCGAATAATATATTCTAGATCAAATCATTCGATAGTCATATTTTTAAAAGGTTCTGTGCAATTCAATTTGTCCACATAGGCTCATATCTCTGAAGACAACTTATTTATTAGATCTTATCAATTCGAGTTTGTTAGCTAAATTACATGACTTAATTAACTTTTAAACATGAGGATAAGAATTATATCTAACGAAGTTTGTATTTAATTTTATTATATAACAATTCTTTGATTATGAAAAATATTATATCTGAAGAAAACCTATGTAAATTTTCTTTGTTCAGTTAAGACATAAGATAGAATTTTAGTAGAAATGAATTTTATAAAAAATGAATGCGAACTGGTTAATTAATGATTTTTGCCAAATATCAATTCTAACAATTCGAATATAATTCGATATTAATTTGATTTGTATGATTAGAATTTCTGCTATGTCAATGCCACAGACTTTTTAGACATCATCGTTAAAATCGGCTCTTTTATCACAATATTTTATTATGAACACGAATGTACTTCGAAATCTTAGGAGATAATTGGAAGAAGATTACTATTAAGCTAACATCTTTCTTTTTTTTTAGTACTCATAAGAAATATCAGTGGAATTTTTTGTTAATACTTCTTATTACTATCTTGAAAGCTCATTAACAATCATCTTCTTTTCAGTCCAACAATGTTTTCCATTTTACTAATAATCGATGAACTGTATTAAGAATTAATGAGAATAATTTGAATTTGTTTTCAAGTTTGAATTAATCTATAATAATACTTATATCGAAGATACTTAAACATGTTATATAAATGAACTATGATTTCTCATCCATGAAGTGATGTCGTAATCCATTTTTATATTCATGTATAATTAAGGTATGAAAAAAGCGAAATTCAAATGGATTTTTTTCTCGTTCATTTATATTTAGTTTTATAGAGCTTGACGAGCTCGTCACGAATATATGGTTTCTCTTTGGATTCAACCACTATTTCGCTGAGGAAAATTCAGGTGACTGAAAATGTATCAGCAATTATGAACTCGGTTTTTCTAAACAAATTGTCAAATTTGAATTGTATTATTCTTTCTAACTTTGTGACAACATTTTATTCTGATTCAACATCAAAAAATTATTTAATTAGATTTAGAATTAATAGGGTCAAAAAAAATCATCCTGTCCAAATATAGATAACTGTAGCATATCTCATCACATGTATTTAGTAACTATTCTTGTAAAAGCTTTTCTAACTTTTTGTAACAAGCAACAGAAACAAGTGTCTTATCTCCTTAGAATCTCCAGATTGTGAATTGCACAAGTACTTATTTACTTTTTCTGGATTCCATTTTATTGTTGAGAAAATTGGTTTTCTTTTCATTTGATGGTAACATTAGGCAAAAGGATGGAAAATGCGCTTGTACTGAGCACCTTTTATTACTATGATACAGTTAAAAAACGAAATAGATAACATATTCGGAATTAGCATTACAAATTACATAGAGTCGTAGAGATTCTAATAATTCTTGATTTCTGTGAAATAGGGGCAGAATTTCCAAAAAATAGATCTGGAAGAAATTACAGGTGCATTTTCCATTGGAAACAGTTTTTACTAAAATATATGTGACTCTATATAGTTTGTGACGCTAATTCCGAAGATGCTATCTATTTCACTTTTTTAAACTGTACTATGATAATAAAAGTTACTAGATACGAGCGCATTTTTCATCACTTTGCCCAATGTTGCCATCAAATGGGAAAAAATTTAAATTTATCAACAATAAAACAGAACCTGGAAAAAAACTAAATAAGTACTTTTGTAGCTCAAGACCTGGAGATTCTAATTAGATAAAACACTTGTTTCTATTGCTTGTCACAAAAAAATTAGAAAAGCTTTTACAAGAATACTTATAAATACGTGCTATGAGTTATATTGAAGCTATCTATATTTGGACAGGATTTTTTTTTTGATCCTATTAACTCTACATCTAATTAAATAAGTTTTTGATGTTGAATCAGAATAAAATGTTTTCATAAAATTAGAAAAAAAATAATGCAATTCAAATTTAACAATTTTTTGTAGAAAAAACTGAGTTCATAATTGCCAATGATACTTTATATTTTTATTTGATATAAAGTATCTGTCGTAAATTAAATAGAATTTTTGTTATGATTCAATCATGTCGACATGAGCTATATTTAATAATGTATTTTTTTTTGTTTTATTTATCAATTGAGTAAAGAGAAAGATTTACTCGGTTAATAATAATTCTTTTATATAATCCATTGTCTTTGGAAAATGTGTAGATTAAATCACAAAAAAGACAACAGTAAATATTTGTCGTAAAAAATAACAGAATAGAAAAAAAAAGAGATTTTTTATGCCCGAGGACAGAATTGAACTGTCGACCCCTGGTTTACTAGACCAGTGCTCTAGCCACTGAGCCACACGGGCGTGCTTCTTGTGTGTTCTGTTTTTGATGTCGTTCTCTTCTATAGTCTCGAGCGTCATATTGTAAAGACATTTTTGCATGAATCACATTGTAGCAGCTGTACATGTATTCACATAAAAGGAAATTGTATTTTATTATCTATTTGATGTTATCATGGTATCATATTAACAAATTGATTCAGATTATCAAATAATTAAAACTACGCTGCCATATAATGTCTTAATCTATGACTCAGAAATTACTTTTAGCAAGAATACAAAAAATTTCCTTTATGATTCATCTTTGCTGTTATATATTTATCATAAAATATTCGAACATTCGAGTTTTTTTATATTTATGATGAATATTGTTTTAGATAAAAAATCTGCTACGTTTCCTATGGCAAATGGATATAAATGGTAATTTATACTATTACAATGTGTTTCACAATCAATTATTAATGAATTTTTAAGAATAGAGATTCATAAAAATTTGCAATGTATTAATTATTGTGGATATAAATAGAGAAGGTTAGAAAAGTAATTGATACAAGTCTTTTGCTTCACATAAAAATCATCTTTGATATCAAATGGACTAGACGAATTAAAACTGAATTAAGATATATGTAATTGGTGTTTCTTACATAGTGACATCAATCATAATTCTTTAATCAGTTTGAAATCTATATCTTTTTAGAAAAAAAAGGAGTACATTTTGTTTGTTTCTCTTATACATTATCCTTGGCTCCAATGATGATGCAAATACGGAGAGGCCGCCCTTAAACAACCCTTCGAAATAACCAATCTAAATTTTGGAAGGACAAAGATTGTCAAACTATATATAAGTTATTGCTGACGAAATCGATAGTATTCCATGAAAAAAACATTGCATCAGATTAAACAATGGTTTCATTATCAAAAAAATCTCCTGAAGAACGATTAAATATTTGTCGTAAATATTACAGAGGTATGAATGTATTTTAGTTGTCAAAATTCTGTATAAGATAAATCTCTCGTTCTTCTTTTTTTTGTGCTCTAAAAGCTGGTTTTGCTTTTTTACCACTTCTTTGGCTTATTAATGCAATTTGGTTTTATAAACAAGCTTTTAAAGTTGAATCATATCCTCAACAAGCACAAATTCGTACATGTAAATAAAACAAAAAAGATCCTTTTATATTATATATATATATATATATTTGTTTTTAGATGTTATTCGAAGTGCAATTGGTACACTTATTTGGATAATTATTATCGTAGCATGGAATATAACATTTCAATTATTACGTACAAAGATGGGACCTCTTGGTGATTTTTTAACATTTGTTTATCCACGGGGATATTATTAATCTTTCTTTCTTTTTTGTTGTTATATTATTAAATTTGTTGTTATGTTGTCAGATAGAAATCAAGAAAAAAAAGAGTAAACTCATGTATGTATCTTCTTTTTTGTTTCTAGATAATATGGTGAGTTTTATTTGAAGATTAAATGGAAATTTAAAAAAAAAAGTTATGTTTAATAGAGTACAACAGTTTTTGTTGGTCTTAGTTTAGCTGCAATTGGATATACTGGTAGGAGATAAATTAAGTTAAAGATTATTTAATTGAATTTGTCTTAAGGACGTTATCTTGCACGATATGGAAAGTTAATTACTGAAAATTTAATGAAAACAAGTAGTATTATTGCAGAAGGACTTTCAGTAAATATCATTTACTTTGATGTTTATTAAATTAATAGAATTATTTTTTGTTATTTTCTAGTCGAAATATTATAAAGGTGGTTTTGGTAAGACTACAACACAAAAAAAAAGAAAATAATTTTGAGATTTGATTGTTTTTCTTTATTAATAGATGCAAAAATGAATCGACGTGAAGCTGCACTTGTATTAGGTGTTAGGTATGAGTATAAAATAAAATGTTTTTATTTATATTTGCGGATTCTTTGTTTTTTTTAAGTCCAACAATGAGTAAAACACGAATACGTGATGCTTATAGACGATTAATTATTCTTAATCATCCTGATCGAGGTAGATTGTTTGGATTTTTAATATTAGATCTTATAATTTTGATAATAGGTGGATCACCATATATTGCTGCTAAGATTAACGAAGCAAAAGAATTATTTGAAAGTGGAGCTAAATAAACTGTAATAAATAAATGTTTACAGTAAAACTTTTGTATTTATTAAAGTTTTTCAATTTTATTTTTTTTTTGTTAACCACTTTTTGTTTTTAATAAAATTTAGAAAAACTAGATGTGTTGCAAAGATGTTCACAGCGTCTAACGATAATAGGAAAAGTCTTTCTTCTCATTTTTGTAGCACTACAATATTTCTTAAGAAATAATGTTTCATTTTTGAACATGTGTTTCATTTTCAATTTTAACCTATTTTACAATTAAATTTTCATAAATTTAGATATTATATTCATCACAGTTGAAATTCATTAAGCTTTGAATTGAGTCGATTTGCTAGCGTGATAACTTTTAATCAACATTGCTTATAATTTATTTTATAAATTTAAAAAATAAGCATCAAAATGAGGTAATAAAACGAATGGCATCTCATAAAGAACGAGTCTGGTAACAATTAAATCCCTTATCTTAACTTTCAGCGTTTAATTGACATCTTTTATTTAAAAATATCCTTGCAATAGAGTTTAACGGCTGGTAAGATAAAGGGACGGTCGTCCGATGGACATATAAGACGACAGATGGGTACATGGTCCCCACCAAAAAAATGAATCATACTTGTTATTGGAAAGGGAATCATCTGTGCGAAATACGTTAATTGAGAGAAGTGGTAGTGAAATTCAAAGATTTCGTTATAGTCTTATCAATGATGGATCTAGAATTTTAGTAAATGGGGACGATCATAGTCACGAAACGTATTTTCAAGTCAAATTAGAAGTCGTATCGGTTCATTTTTGGCTGTTTTCTGCTGAGAAAATTCCAAAAATAGTTCGAAGGAAAGGAGCGATCATCCCTAATGTCTTGTTCGGAATCTGCCACTGAGCATTGTGTCCAATAAATTGATATATGAGAATGTGAAAAACCCTCCAATGGATTACAAATCTAAATGATCAAATATTTCCATCGACAGACTGTAACATACAGTTATTAACACAAATTTCTTTAGATAAAAGAGTACTGTATATTGAAAGTTATTGTTTTTTTTTTTATGGATCAACAGGAGGATTTTTACATTCTTTATGAATCATAATGTTCTAATTACGACTTTCCGTCGGTTGGGATTGTCCCATCATATGAGTCAGGTATAGTGACTCAATATATATATACGAGAATTTCTCGTTCTTTTCTGTGTGGGTGTGAGATCTGATAAGCTATATAACCCATAGATGTCAAACAAAGATGAATTTAGGTTGGATGAGATCTAGAATTTATTTGCCGGTTGATAATAGACAGGGATCTTTTTCTAGTGATTTCAATATATTCTTAACAACTTTCTACAGCTCGTAACTTCAGTGTGCAAGTATACTTTGTAAGTTTAAAGATTTGATGAAGGGATTTTTTTTTTGTTTTATGAGATAACGAGAATCAGGTTTCATTTCGTTTAAAAAGTATTCAAATTTCTCTGACGTTTTTATATAACCTTTTTCTTTTAAACCAAATGCATCATAAAACAAAAATTTTGTCAATTTATTTCTTTTTTTTTTTGCTTTCATCTATACAATTCAAATATTATTATATGAAACACATTGATTATCGTACTTTTTTTTTCATGTTAAAAAGAAAAAGAAATTTGTAATCAAAATAAATATATTCTAATAAAATTTTTATTTGTTTTTGTCGATCTAATTTATGTCTAACTTTTTCCATGATATATTTTCAAAAGATATGTTAAGCCAGATGGAAAATTGATTTGTTATCACTAAGATTTTGTCATAGCCTTTCGCTTGTATGCAAGTAAAAACAAATACATACAATCAAAACAATCTTCGTTACTTTTTCTTCAATTCTTCATGCCTTCTCGTTCTCTGCAGCTACCCAGCGCCTAGCAATGCGATGTATTGCAAGTCATGTCGGATTTTTTTTCTCTCCTCGTCATCTCTCGTTCTTTTTTTAATGCCTTCCATATTGTCAGATGATTAGTACAAAACAAATACATCTTCTAGTCATTTGAATAATTTTCTTAGATTGCAAGATGATTCATATTTTTTAAGATGATGTAGCAAACATATATGTATATATATATATATGTTGCAGTGGAAAATAAAATTCAGTAGAATTTAAAGTTCTATTGATAGAGATTGAAACTTCATTTTCTACTAGTAGAAAATGAAATTTCAATCTCTACTAATAGAATTTTAATTTCTACTACAACATATATTCTTGATGATTTCTAGGCACTGGATTCTGACAATGACGCATTCACAATCTAATCGTCCTTATAAAATTTTATTTATTGGTGATAGTGCAGTTGGGAAGACAAGTTTGATGTTTCGTTTTGCTGGTACGTACTGAAAAAGTCGTTTGACACATATAATCATATTTTTAGTACAGCTATGGTTAAGATTCAAAGTTCTTTATATGTTCTTATCAGTTTTTTATTGACATTTTTTTTTCATATCTATGATAAAGCAAGCTTTTTATGAGGGCACGTAGAGGTTAAACGTTTGAAAATAATTAAATCTTGACCTTTGATTAATAAATAGTTCAGGATTAGTTCAATCGAATAAATTGAGAACATAGCAAGAATTATTGGAATGACATGCAAATGTCTGTGAACCGTTATTTCTTACTATCGAAAAGTCATATCAACTTCAATTATCTTTTATTTAGAATAATAACAAAATCAGGCTAAGATAAATAATTTAATAATTAGTTGTATATTGTATGAAATCATGTTTTTGATGAACTTCAAAAAATGTTTCGTATTTTGTTTAGAAATAGCAAATGATCAAGAATTTATATAAGATGTGATATATTAAATCTATCTTTCCAAATTAACTCTATTCATTTTTTCAAACCAGTAGTGGATCTGGGATTATGATGAATGAAGGCGATTATAGTCACACAATGTGTTTTTAAGCCAAATTATAGATCATACTGATTCATTTTCGGGCACTTTTCTGCTTAGAAAAATTGAAAAATAATTCGAAAGGAAGAGACGATCGTTCTCAGTACCTCCTCTAAATCAGTCACTGTATTGAAACGAGCGATTTCAAAATTTTTATAAAGGATAGTTTAATGGTAATATTATTCACATCATTTTTTTTAGTATTAAAAAATTGTCCTCTAAAAAAAGAGAGAATAAATATATAAGTTTGTTTTATTTGCTCAATACTTCATGTTTTACTCTCAAACAGAAAGAAAAAAAAAACATTCGATTCGATATTCTGTTATTGAAAAATAAACATCAATCTTTTATGTTAGATCATTTCTAGGAAACTAATCTTTAAAAACTTGATGAAAAGTAAATTAAATCTAATGATATGAATAAAAGTAATATATTTAACTATCAAAAATCTAATAGTCAAGATTGATACTTGTGAATTATTGAATTCAAAAGAATTAAATCTCTAATTTCATAATAATAAGACATTTATTGTCTATGTCATATTGAATATTTTGATAAATAGAACAGTAAGCAAAACTAATAAACGACTAATAAAAACAAGATCTGCTAGTGAAACAATGTTTCCTTGATACTCTTTAATTGACATTTATTCTAAAAACAAACGAAAGGTCAAAAGAAAAAAGAAACAAGATTTTAATTATCAGATTTTTTAATATTAACTTTTCTTATTAGATAATACATTTACTGAAACATTCACACCAACAATTGGAATTGATTTTAAAGTTAAAACAATCTTTTTACGAGATAAATCAATTAAATTACAACTTTGGGATACAGCTGGTCAAGAAAAATTTTATAATATAACTCGATCTTATTACGTACGATAAACAAATATATTTAGATTTAAATCAAAATAAATGTTTTCTTTTGTTTTTTAGCGTAATGCTGATGCTATAGTCCTTGTTTATGATCGTACAGTAGCAAGTTCATTTCAAAATATTAGTCGTTGGATGAAAAATATAGATGAAAATGCTCCTGATGATGTCATACGAATATTAGTTGGAAATAAAAGTGATCTTCATCATTCTATTGTTATATCATCACAAGATGGAAAAAAATTGGGCGATAGATATAATGTAGATTATTTTGAAACAAGTGCGAAATCGGATACAAATCCCAATGTATCAAAAGTGTTTTATACTTTAACAGAAAAAATACTTGACCAAGATCAAGTAACATCTAAACCTTTAGACACTGATGTTCATATATTAATTAATCCATCAGATTCAATTTATGACAAACTTACAAGTTGTTGTTCATCATCAATAACAACTAATAAAAAATGATATATGTTTTTCTTTTTTGTTCAAAAGTCATTGCCTTACTTTCTGTGAGCATAAAGAAGAAAATATTCAGATTTTTTTATCGGAAATATGTGAAGTTATTCAATACTATCAACTCAATTATTGTACATCCAGAATTTTTGTGGTATAAAAATGATTCAAGGAGTATCTAATTGAACGAGTTCTTAGCGATAGAGTCCGAAATTCATTGATCTTCATGGAAATGTTCTGTGTGATAAGCAAGATGAAATTGCTGTCTTCTTCGAAATATATCGAGCTATCGAAATACTTAGAACATCCTGGAAAAAGCTTGATTAGCTGATATTTTTCGATTGATGGATATTTTATAATATCTGCCAAAATTCATTGATACAATATCTTTTCAAACAAAAAAATAAACTTACATCTCAATTTCATCAAAATTACGATAAAAAAGTTTTAGCTCAATTAGTTGAAGTGTCAGGGGGATAACTTCGATTTTTCACTTCGAAAGTTGATTTTGAAAAAAAAACGCGGCTTCGATATGTTGGAATTTTTATCTCTCTATGATGAGGGAATATATTTTGGTGATGAAACAACTACTTTAGAATCTAAACAAAAAGTTTTCGTTTTTCTGACGATCAAAAAAGAGAGTACTTGAATGTCTCTTTCAAATTGAAAAGAAACTTGATAAGAAAAAAATAAAAAATTTTTAAGATCTGGAAAGGGAAGATATTCTTTAGCTTTTCAAGTGAATTTGAAGAATGAAAAAGAAAATAATATTCTATTTTGTTTTCTATTGAATATGTTTATGTATCCTTTCAACTGGAGGAGTGAGAGCTTGATAAAACATTGAATGAACTCACAGATATTCTTTCTTTTTTGTTCTATCGTCCATGGAAAATGTCAACTAAGTATTTCCGAAAAAAATGAACTTTCGAAATTATTTTTTTTTTATTAAATTATTTCAATAACAATTTTATCTCCCACTGATCTTAATCATAAAATAAGAAAATCTATTTGGCAATGTCTAATGGATGATGAAATGGAAAGAAAAATATGGGAATATGGATTTTTAACAAATTTATTTTGTTTGCTATTATTGACATTCTGCTTGATGTTCTGCCAGTTGTAGAAATACAATACGTTCTTGACAAGTTGAACATATTTGGCAACATTGTATTAGATGTGAAATATTCGGATTTTGATGATATGAACGTACACAAATATTAATCATTTTTAATGAATTATAGAGCAAAAACAAAAGTCTAAAATGAAAAATCTACCACTCAATCTCAACGATAGAATAAAGAGAAAGATGTTTCGTTCTCATCGTGAATACGATCATTCTACATTAAAATTATCTTTTCATTCTTGTCTTGTTTGCCAACATAAAAAAAGCAAGTAATTGAATGTATAGAAGAAAAATGAATAGCTTGCATCCATAGCCTTGAGTAAATTCTTACGAAAAAAAAAATTTACAGTGTTTAATTGACTATATATGTACGAATTCTTTTTGAATTGAAAAGGGCTCATCTTATAAAGCATATGTTGGATTCTTTGTAATCATTTATATTCTATATAATAGAAAAGCAGCATGACGATAACGAGTTTTTTTTATATGTAAATGTTAACAATTTCTGCGTCATATTGCAAAGATAAATCATAATAAAACAGATTTTTTCATCGATCATATGTTAAACTATTGGAAATCAACGTTTTAAAATCAGAAATAGATCATTTCGTTCCAATCACTTTCTGATTTTTTATATTTTATTTAATTATGAATCAATAATTAAATAGTAAGAAATAAAATTTTTAATAAATTAAATAAAGACATAGAAATTCAATTATTTATTAATCGTATAAGAAATGTTATTATATTTGATTAAAAATTTTATAATTAATATAGCATAATAACATAACTAGTAATCAAATTTCACAAATGGTTAAATCAATATGGAATTATATATTTATTTAATTTTTATTTGTTATAAAAATGGAGCTTATTTGCAGAATTTACAACGCATGATGGGTTTCAAGCAAGCTTCAAATGATAAAACAAACATATACGATTATTTATATCGTTATCGGAATATAGAATTATTATTGATAACACTTCTGATCCAATTTAACCATTATTTCTATCCTTATCACGATCGAGTTTAATCGTATTGTCTGTAAAACCTTTAATTACTTATACTTTATATGATGTCACTGTTGATATATGTCATCAATATAAACATCCAACAATTTTAAAAATAATTCATGGTGATGAAGTAGTTTATCTGTTTGATAGTAGACAACGAATAACTGGAAAGCTTTTTTGTTAAACAAATTTTATCATGTTTAGTTCGTTTATTAGCACTCATATCTAAAACAACATTTATTTTATTGCCTTATTTAAATATAAAAACAAATGTTAATCAATATAAAGGTGTTTTAATAGAACGAGAGTTAGTAAATGATAAAAAAAAGTTCTATTGACTGTAATTCAAATCAAATTTGTCTTGCTAATATTGTCTATTCAACATCATCTTCATGTTCAGATTTAATCATACTTAATCAAATTTTAATCATAAATAAATATACTATTCGATGTGAATATATTTTAATAATTTCAATGATAATAGTTGTAATGTAATAATTGAAACAATCAGTCAATTTAAATTACCTAAAGATGTTGAATATTTGCATATTTACAGATATTACGAAGAATCATATGATTGAAAACAAATAAGTGATTTATTTTGACAAGTACGTATTATTATCATTATGCCTACAACTATATTCTCTTATATAATATGGTGTCTATCATTTATACATATCATTGGAGTAACACAACAAACGATGACAGCTGATTATTACGATATAAGTTTACCACCTCTATTAAACCATTGGTTGGTAATAACAACGAAAACGAATAAAAAAAGATATTCGAAATTTAATTATGAAAATTTTAATGAATATTAATGAATAAAACTATATCCTTTATTGATAACATATATTAAACGAAGGGGTAAAAAAAAGCGGGTTTCTAATGTTTGTCATTCTTATGTTTTACATACACCTTTAAGAAAAAAAAAAATAATGCGAATTTTGTTAAATGCACAAAACAACGTTAAATTAATCAGACAATTTTAAATAGATAATACAAACAACATCAAAGACACATGTAAATTAAATGTAAATTTTTAATTTATTTGTTTATTCTTTGAAATGATTACGAAGTAAACGAAGGAATTCTTCACGATTTTCAGGTGTTAATGCTAAGACTTGTTGTAAGAGTTTATTTGGTGAAGCAACACGTGCAAATGTTGATATATAAACATTTGTAAATAAAGCCATTATGATTTGACAATCAAATCGATCCTATATAAACAAAAAGACAAAGCTTTTATATGAATAAATCATTTTAATCATACCATAAATCCTCCATGACCGGGTATTGTCGCTGCAAAATCTTTAATGCGAAAAGCTCGTTTAAATCCACTTGCAAAAAAGCCACCAAATGGTCCAATACTTGAAGCAAATAATGATAATATTAATGAATGTAATTGAAATGGATAAAGTTCTAATGTACGTTTAAAGAATGAAAAAGGTTTTGGCATTGTATAAATTGTTTTTTGAAATAATGGTATTGGTATACACGATGTTGCTAAACTCATTCTTTCATCATCATATTCTAATGGACATACAAGAAATTGATAATGACTTAATATACCAGCTACTATAAAGCCAAATATTAATGTTGATACTCCACCACCAATGAAACCTTCCCAAGTTTTTTTTGGTGATAATTTTGTTAATGGTGTACGACCATAGAAAAAGCCAAACATGTATGCCATTATATCATTACAAATAATTAATGAAACAGGAAAAATAAACCAGATCATACCTATTAATTGAAAAAATTTTAAAAAAAAATGGATGTAATTTTTGTCATTTGATTTTATAAATTTTGAACATAATTAAGAATATATATCTTGTTAGATATACATTATGAATACTTTAAATTGATCTATCTTGCTTGTAGTTATAGTAAGAAGGAACACTCAGACAAATCCCTAGGGAATTAACATGACAAATACTGTGCAACTAAACGTTTCATTAGAAAGTTTACACGTTTTCTCGCTCTATATATATATTTATGTCGCGTGATTTAAACAAACATTAATAATAATGTGTTTCGTGACATGTGAACTTTAAGATTTATAATCAATCGTGCTTCATATTATGTCTTAAATTCATTAATCAGATATCATTTAATAGATATAGATAATTTTCAAGGTCAAAAAGATAATTTATACAATCAAAACATATGTTGATATAATCTAAGGCATTAATAGATTGAATCTCTTATTCTCATATTAAGAATAATAAAACTATTCAAATAATAAATTTTTACCTTCACAAATATTTTGTATCATTTGATGACTTGATGTAACCAAAATCATTAATGTTATATGTGTATATCCAAATAAAGTAAATTGTTTAAGATAATATGTTTTTTTTAAACTTAATACAAATCCAACAAAACCACTTGTATATAACAGAAATCCAATCATACGATGATATGTTACAAGTGGTTGAAGAAAATTATGTTTATGCATCATAAAACCAAAATGATTTATTAAACTTTCACCATAAAGCCAATAATTTGATGTAAATAAAAAATACCATGATAATGTACGAAACCATGGTAGATTATGTGATTTATAAACAACATAACCAATATTAATTATTTCTTGAAAACATTTTATTTGTATAAGTAATACAACAATTGAAACAACAAGTGGTCCCATTGATACTAATTTAGCAAAACCAAGTATCATAACCCATGAAAATATACCTCGTATAATCCAATTACGCCAACGTGGATTTAAGCCAATTAATAATCGATCAAAATATTGCATAAATGTTTGTATTGTTGATTCTTCAACGATCATATGTGCACCACTTGGTTGTGATGGTAATGGTTCCATATCATCATCTTCTGTTGTTGGTGCACCAGCACCTGTTGGAGATGTTTCTGATTTTGATAATTGAGATTGATTAATATTATTTTCATTTTCAATATTACGATGATAAATACCAGAAGAAGTTGAAGAAGACATTCTATTATCAGTAGTTATGATGAGTATTAAACAAAAAAAAGATCGTGAATAAAAAGACAATAAAAAAAGATTTTCTTATTCGCAAATCAATAAAATTGATTTGATGTGACTAGAGAAAAAAACAAATAGAAAAGGAAAAGGAATTTATGTTTCTGTAAGCATAAATTATAGAAGCCAATAAAAAATCAGTTGGTTGAATAGATGGCAATAGGAAACGGATTAATATAAATCTCGTTGATTCTTTCTTTGACTATCATTTCACATAGAGTATGTTCTGTCACAACAAACATGTTCTATGGAAAACAGAAAACTTGTCGTTGTTTAATGGACATTTCTATTTCGCAAAAACATATGCCGAATTCCTGAAGTACACAATCATATCTATATAATATAATCAAAACTAGATGAATGAATATAATATAAATCAATTTTATTGATTATAGTAAGTAATTTATATCTTAGAAACAAAGTAAGAGATCACAAAAAAAAACAACAAGTACTTTTGTGTTAAACTAATGAAATGAAATACATTATACAAGCTTAAATCATATAAATAAATTATGCTGTCCATTTCGTCAGATTAAACTTTGAGTAATAATAATTTAAATCCTTTACTGAATGTTAAAAACAAGCTATTGATAGAATCTCTTAATAGATGATAAATGATCGATATTATCATGCAATGGTAAACAATATATGGTTAACCCAATTGGTTATTTGTTAATACGAAATATTGAATTTTTTTAATGAAAAAAAAGTTATTTTCTTTTATAGTTCAGAAAATTGAGCTCGACAAATAAATTTGAAATTTCGTGGTGACTTTTTCGTCTATATTTTGTCAATGAGATCTTACAAGAGTAATATTCCAATTGATTTCGAGTTATTGAGATGCAACTGTCCTTACACAGAAAAATGCAATATTATCACTTTATTCCTCATAATCATAATGATTTGGACGATAAAATCGTGTTGTTCTTATATTAACTAATAACTTTTACACTTTTAAAAATTTCGATGCAAGCATTGGCATTTAACTGGAACTATCCATTGTATTTTATTGATATTATTGTAAAAAAAAATATATATTTTGAATAGAAAGTATTTCGAACAGCTTTTTTTTTCATGAAAACAATTATTGATTACTGTAAATATTCTTTTAATAAAAAACCTCTTACCAAAAAAAAAACTAGCGTCATACAATATGCATTATTTTGTTCTAAAATCGAAGAGAAATCGGAATCGCTAAGTATCTGTTCATGACTTCCGATCACTCATGAAAGGGAGGGAGGGAGGGAGAGAGTAAACATTGGCAGACAATCTATGGTGATTTTGTTGAGACACAGTCTCCAACAAAAACTACGTACTTATTTCATAACAGTATCATCTCAGTTCATCTTTATTAGACAATAAGAAAACATCACATATGCATAGAAAAATAATATTTACAAAAATCTGAAATGATAGTACATATAAGTAAATATTAGATATTTAATAGACATGTCTAGAAAGATCACTAAATAGATGGACTTTCTAGTAGAAAATAATGATTGTGACAGGAAGAAGTTAATCAACATATTTTCATCAAAAAAACAGCATAATCCATTGTGTATAGACACACTATGACCAAAAAGGTTGACAAATAGTCAAAACACCAGGAAAATTATTTTGTGACACAGCATATATTTCTTAGATCTTGGGGAGAGGGGAAGGAAGCTCCTGCTAATGAGGATTCATGTATCTGCTTGATTAGTATCACCATCACATTCTCAGACTTATTCTGTAATCAATTAGTTAAATGATTTTTTTTATGAACAGCGATTTCGTTTCCAGAAGCTGTAAATATGCAAGAGTAGTATATGATGAATGAAGAGATAAAAACCGAGCTCGATAAATACAAAAGTAGATTTACAACACTATATTGTAATACTTCACCTTGATATTGTGCTTCGTGATAATAAAAATCAGTATGAAATAGATAAATTAAAGTTTCCACATAACAATGCCTTCTTTTTATAATGCATTAGAAAGATATTATGCTCTGTTTTCATGAGAATTTGGCTTTCTATTCAAATTTGAGTAGTAATTGTTAGTATTAAATAATATAATATATATGAAATCGATAAATATAAAATTTTCTTGATTATGCTATATTTTATCTCATCAGACAGATATTGCATCGTTTGAATATCAATTGAATTTTTTGTATGAATGAATCTGGTTAATGTCTATATTGGATGATAACATGTATTTGCAATATATAAATAGAAGATTGGTCTCACAATGTTAGCTTTCAATACGTCAGCAAAGCATTGCGCTTATCGAGAGCCATTTTAGTTGTTATGCAGACTCTGCATAACGAATTTCTGAGTTGAAAACTAAAGTTGAATATAAGATTAATTAATAAAAAGTTCAATTTATTGTACTGTTGTATAGTAGAGTAGTCACACATTTTACTACTATTTAATCTTCTTTTGGTTTGTCTGTAATGAAGAAATTCTCCTCAACTGACAAATTGCTTTTGAGTCGAGACTATGTGCATTATATAGACTCAAATGAGCTATGAGTGTCCTGAAAAGAGTTTGTGCTCTTAGCTTCTTGCTGCTGAAATAGTGTACTTTAACGATATTTTTGAAATCAATGCTGTAGTATCCCTTAAGAACACTAAGAAAAATGATTTTCGAATTTCGACTTGAAACTTTGCATAGAGACAGGTCTTAGCGAGAGTAGTTTCAGGTCTTTTCATTTGCTGTATCCTGAAATAACAACATCAAAGGTCCCGGTTTCTATCAGCAATGTAAAAGACATGCTATTATCATAGTTGTATTGTAGGATAGTAACAGCAGCAAGATTTGAAACATTCATGAAAGAAAACATTCTCGTTAAGGTTTGCTAGTTCGTCTGTATTTAGCTAATCCTAGCCATCGTTGCGCGTATTAATCGTCATAGTGCAAACCAAAATTAATAATAAAATTCCGAATAAATATGTTTCAGAAGCAGTTAGAAAAATGAGCAGAGTATTGCAACGCTAGTTCTAGATCTAACTTTTAATTCAATTGCTTTATTTACAATACCACTGATAAAATTGTAGCGTCATACAATTTTTTTAGAACGAATGATAATTTTCAATAGTAAAATGTACTTACTATAAATGGATGATTAATCGTATTGTCTTGTTCATATGCATCTTTAATCAATCCTTCTAAAAATGGTTTATCATATATACTTAACATACCACATACCAAAAGAATGGTCGCACCGCTCAACGAAAAGATTTTTGATCAATGGGCGCTTCTGCTACTGTCTTAAGGCTTACATCATCTTTGACACTGCCCGCGCCTCTTTTTTTTTTAATGGTGGTGCATATCTTTGATGTATGTGTAGTTCTTATTTTCACACACATCAACATCTGTACCGTCAATGTCCAAAACTGTATCAAGAAATGTATCTCTCATTATAGGTGTGGAAGGTTGATATAATGATGGTCGGTTCTATATGAATTCATCTGCATGGTACTTATTTTATATTCAAAGAGAAAACAAGTAAAAAAATAAATAAATAGAACGAAAAGATAAGAACAGGCAAAAAAAGATAAGGAAACAACTACTTCATTCTTGCTTTATTTTCTATTTGAAACAGTAACGATTTACACAGTTGGCTGTCAATTTTAGATCATGTCATTAAGAACTATTGAAAGTTCAAACACCATGAAACAAAATGAACATTATAATCTTCATAGCACACCACAGTTGACTGCTATAGAAAAATCATTTACTTACATTCAGAAAGCTATTGAAGAACACAAAGCCAGTTTTAGTCTTACAGACATCTTCTTCATTGTCGATTACGGTTGTGCACAAGGAACAAATGCGGTTGTGGCTATTGAAGCAATTGTCGAAGCAGTACAACAGAAATATGGAACAGCTATATCGAATCAAATATGTACTGTCTTCAATGATCTACCGACAAATGACTGGTCAGCATTAATTAAAACTATTTCAAAATCGTCTTTCACCAGTTTGGCATCAGGTAAATCATTCTACGAACAGATTCTACCTTCAAATACAGTTCAATTTGGATATACATCATCAGCAATACATTGGCTTTCAAAGAAACCATGTAATCTTCATCGACACTGTTTTGTTTTAGCTGGGCAGTCAACAGCTGAAGAAATGGCAATGTGGAAAGCACAAGCAGCTGAAGATTATAAAATATTTTTACAACATCGGTCGAATGAATTGAAGAAAGGTCAGTTTTGAGATGAGAAAAGAAATTTCTGACTCAGATAGTTTTTAGTGACGGATATAAAGAAGAGATAATGCGATTGAACACATTTATTCACAGCAATTTATACATCGCGGTAAATATAGAATATCGATGAAATATCTGCCATCTTATTGACTCCTATTACGGTACAATTAGCTTTAAGTATACCTACATTAAGCCTAACAATTGTTGAAAATTCGTACTAATCGTATGACCATTCACGACGAGTCGCTATTCACCGATTTGTTTTGCCATTAAAGGTTAATATAAAAGAACGAGGAATGATCTTTTTTTCGTCTAGTAAGAAAACACTTCTTGCAATCGTTGGCACTATCTTGCCTAATATAGCTACCAAAATCTCATGTATTTTAAATTACAGAACGCAAAAGAAAAAGATGTTTGTCCACTATATTGTTTTTTTTAGCAGAAAACCTCTCCTACTGTTTATGCTTTATCCTGCATGACAGGCTATTTGAGCAGGATGGTTTTCTGCAACGGTTCTTTCGTTCTTTTATATAGATTTGAACTACAAACAAATTCATGATTGCCGAGTCATAAGTATTTGTGACGGAAATTCAGCGTGGCATTGGACCTAGGTCTAGAAAAAAAACTGATAATTACAAAAATCATGCGATCAAGACAATTGTCGTAGTCTGAACAGTTTTGAAACCTCAAAAAGTTTCTCCTTTTCTATTTCAGGTGCTGTTCTTCTCTGTGTCACACTCAGTCGTGACAAT